AGTGTAGAGGGGAGAGAGAGAGAGAGAGATAGAGATAGAGAGAGAGAGAGAGAGAGAGAGAGAGAGAGACTGTTCAGTCCCTCTGGCTTGACAGTCATTTTGAGTGGGATCCCTCTCTGGCCGCCCCCAACCAGGGGCAGGGCAGTGAAGGGTAGACGTTCAGTCCCTCTGGCTTGACAGTCATTTTGAGCGGGATCCCTCTCTGGCCCCCCCAACCAGGGGCAGGGCAGTGAAGGGTAGACCTGGGGGAACCTGTGGTCTCTGTTGGCTTCCAGCTCCTGCCCATGACCTCCAGCAAGTGGCATCGTGCTGGTGCCTCTGAACTCTCTCTAATGCCTTCCCTCTAACAGAAGGGCATCAAACACTCATTTGGGCCAAATGCCCGAGTTAAAATTCAGAGTTAGCGAGCGATTGTCAGATGATGAAGCTCACCAGTGTAAAATGAACTTCTGGGGTAAAAAAAGGAATCTGACATCTCATAAAAAGAATCAAATTGTTACAGTTATATTATTAGCGAGTTTAGTAACCACGGTTTAAACGTTTGACCCGATAATACAGAAACAATACAGTCCTTAGCTCTGTCAGCTGCTGGATCGCACCCGCAGCCAAAACGTGGATTGCACGATTAGGTGTCACCTTCAATTTACACATTTAATAATCTCACTAAGCTTTCAAGCACTGAGATTATAATTCAAGAAAATTGGTTTTCAGCAATAGGTTTTCCTAGGAAATCTTTGTACCTAAGATCTTTAGTTTGGGCAGATCTCAAAACTCCTTCATCTCCAATTACTAGAAATTGTTAGCATTCTATAGCAATCATCTTGACCAGACTTTTCGTTTAAATGTTTAGCCTTGACAGACTCAAAACTATAAGGAACTGTCTTCTTAAAACATTCTTATAAAATCTGTTACTTGGAAGTTTAATTGGTGAGAACAAAATGTGTTGGGCGGGACCTTGTTTGTTTTTTTCCTTAATACTTAGTTTTAAAACCACTTAAACACTTTTTTTTGTGAGGAAATTCATCTGTGGTTGCAATATCATTCATTACTTATGTTTGAAAGTGACTATTCGATGTTACCATTAAGTCAGAATGGCATGCCTATACACAATTTTAAATGTTTTTTGGTTAGTCCTCACTTGAGGATATGGAGGAGGGGAGGCCCCTGGCTCATTATGGGAAGAAGGTCCATGTCCCACAGCCCAGCACTGAGAGAAGGCCGGGCTCCCCTTGACCTAGCAATGCAGCCAACCCCACCTCTGCCCACCTCCGTGCCCCCCCAAGAGATGATGCTTTAGGGTCCAGTGACCCAGCTCCAGAGAGCCGCAGGGGTGAGGGTGAGTCAGGAAGTGTGGGGCGGTCAGAAGAGGGAAGCCTTCTTCTTGAGCTCATTCCGCTTCCACAGGGCCAGCTTGCTAAACTCTTCTGGAGACATGGCGAACACCCTGGAGAAGTCCTCGGCTGACAGATGCCTCTGCAGAGGACAGACCAAGGCCGCTTAGGGAGAGGAGGGCGGGCTGGGCTGAGTGACCAAGGGGGCAGGTCCTCCCCACCAGGAGGGGAGGCTGCCCGATGGAGCCCCTGCACCCACCAGCGCCTCTCCCCTGCATACCTCCAGCCTCATCCGATCCACACCTGGAGGCAACTTGGTTCGCCCTTTATTGGTCACCACCAGCATTTCGTAGGGATAGATCTGGGGGGCAGGGCAGGGGGCAGTCTTAGGCTCATAGTGTTCCCTGTTGCTGTCACCCCTCAACTCCCCAGGCCCCCTTATCAGCCTGCAGGGCCATTGGGTTCATGCCATGTTGCCATCCAGCGCCCCCAGCTTCCCCGTCAGCAACTCCGGGAGGATCCCATAGCGCATTCACTTGCCTGGCTTCTCCCCCAGCTGGCCACCCCACTGTAGAGGCTTCTGTCCCCTGCCCACCCCCCCTGGCTCTGCCGCTGCCCCTCACCTTCTGCTCCAGCACACAGGGCAGGGAGTTTCCCCGGTCCATCCTCCCCCTCTGGCCCTCTCCGTTCTGGGGAGACCAAAGCCGCAGTGAGCCAGAGTGGGGCAGGGAGACCTCCCCAGCCTTACCCGGGGCTTCTCATGTGCTCACCAGGCAATTGGGTGGCCCAACACCCCCTCCCCCAACACTGCCAGTCGCCTGTCCCAGCCTTCTGTGCTCCACGTCCTCCTCCGGCTGCACTCACCTGCAGGCCTGGGGAGAGAAGAGTCACTGTTCAGACCAGCCAGCTGAGCCTCCCTGCCCTGCAGCCACACAGCCCTGCCTGCATCCCAGACACAGCTGCCCCTGGGCCTGCTTAGGCCCTTTCTCCGCTGGCCTGACCCTGCCTCTCACCTGGGCTTCCAGCCTCACTCCCGGTCGGGCTGAAGTCTGTGGACTGCAGCTAGAAAGGACAGACAGGATCAAAAGGAAGCTGAGTGTTCCTCATCAGTCCCTTCCCTTGAAGGTCTTCCCTTCCCCAAGTAGCTCAGCCCCTCAGAGGACCCCACGTGCACACTCCTCCCTGAGGTCTGGGACCTGTGGTCAGGGACCTTACCCGGCTCAGGGTGGTCCTGCCGTAGGCCGGGAGGGAAGATGACTTTGATGTTCCACCGTGCAAGGCTAGGGGGGAGAGAGAGAGAGAGAGAGAGAGAGAGAGAGAGAGAGAGAGAGAGAGAGAGAGAGAGAGCATTCACACACTCTCTC